TGCTGCCTGTTGTTCTTCAGCCTCTGTGGCCAGCTGTGGGCCGTGCCCCGGACCAGCGAGGAGCTTTCTGCTTGGGCCCCAGGTAAGAAGAGATTTTATTCTTTGGATTCGTCCAGCATTTAATGACGTGGCATTGTAGAAGAATGGGAGATGAGTCCGTTGCATCTGGAGAGCAAAGAAAACCCCCAAACCAAGTTCGTTTGTGCAAAATCAGCCAAAGCAGGAAAGAGGGGTGGGGGACTGTTTTGAGAAATTCTGGTTGCAGAGATGAAGGAGACTGGCAACAAATGGCTAGCTATTGGGCTGTTGTTAAGAACCAGGACCAGGGGCCGGGCATCTAAAAGTGCAGAGAAGAGCAACTAAGGTGATTGAAGGCCTGTGGACTAAAACATAGGAAGAACGGTTGCAGGAATTGGGGATGGCCAGTCTGGAGAAAAGAAGGACTTTGGGGGGGGGAGGAACATGATAGCGGTCTTCCAGTATTTGAGGGGCTGAAACAAAAGAAGGGGGGGTGTCAGCTTATTTTCCAAAGCACCCGAAGGCAGGACAAGAAGCAACGGATGGGAACTAATCAAGGAGAGAAGCAACCTGGAATTAAGGAGAAACTTCCTGACAGTGAGAACAATTAACCAGTGGAACGACTTGCCTCCAGAAGTTGTGAATGCTCCAACACTGGAGGCTTTTAAGAAGAGACTAGACAGCCACTTGTCTGAAATAATAATAATAATAATAATAATAATAATAATAATAATAATAATAATAATAATAATAGGTTCTCCTGCTTGAGCAGGGGTGGTGGACTAGAAGACCCCCAAGGTCCCATCCAATTCTGTTATTCTGATATTCAGAATGGTCTAGGGTCTCCTGTTTGAGCAGGGGGGTGGACTGGAAGACCTCCGAGGTCCCTTCCTGCTCTATTCTGATTAATCTTAATTAAACGGAAAGGACTCCCGAGGTTGCAATTGCAAGCCAACATGGTTGGAAACACAAGATATTATGAAGCAAAACGCGGAACTGGACAGGGTTAGCTTTTTATGGCGGTTTTGCTTTTCCGCCAGCTTCGGCTAAAATGTCATTAGGATAAGTACTTGCGAAACGCGTCCGGCGTTGTGTTTCTTCCCTGAAATATGAAGAGAACCACGTGCCCATGACAGAACAGGGTCTTTAGTGCTATAAGGCGACATTCGCCTCGCCTACGTTTGACGCTCAAGCTGTTTAACGGGGAACTGGCAACCCCCTCAATTAACAAAATTAAAAATAAATAAGGTGATGGGCTTGCGTTCCCTGGGATAGCCTCTCCCTCTGATGAAGGGGAGGTTAGGTTAGATCCACATCTGAACTTAGTTCATGGAATCATAGGGTGGGAAGGGACCTTGGAGGTCCTCTAGTCCAACCCCCCCCTGCCCAAGACAGGAGACCTTATACCCTCCCAGAAAAATGATTGTCCACTCTTTTCTTGGAAAATCTCCAGTGATGGAGCACTCACAGCTTCTGGAGGGAAGCCGTTCCGCTGATTAATGGTTCAGGAAATTTCCCTTTAGTTCTACTAGTAGGAAGGAAGGACAAAAAGGAAGGAAAGAAGGAAGGAAGGAAGAGGATACAGAGCAACGGAATTGGAAGGGACCTTGGAGCTCTTCTAGTCCAACCCCCTGCTCAAGCAGGAGACCCTAGACCATTTCAGATCAATGGTTATCCAGATCTCCGGTGATGGAGCACCCACAAGTTCTTGAGGCAAGCCGTTCCCCTGGTTAATGGTTCTCACTGTCAGGAAATTTCTCCTTAATTTTAGGTGGCTTCTCTCTTTAGCAAACTTCCACCCATTACTTCCTACCTTAAGGAGATTTAGAGGAAGGAGGTTTAGATGTCAGAGGAAGAATCACTTCTGATTAGCAAGAATGGTAACCAGAGCAAAAGTTTACGATTCAGAGCAAAGGATTTCGGAGGGAAGACAGACATGTCTCCAAAGATCACCTTGCTTCTTTCTAACTTTGTTCTCAATCTGCAGTCAACAATGAAGAGGCCAAGCTAAGCCTGGATCCTTTGACTAGCAGAAGATCCTTCCAGCAAATCTTAACCAGGATACTAGGAGCACAGACAGAGGACAATTTAAACAAAGCAGGTAAGACAAAAGCCTGCATTTCCCCCCCCCTTTCAATAATCGTGCCATCTCACCCCACAGTATTTCAGGGGCTGCCCCAAAGAAGAAGGGGGGGGGTTTCAACTTATTTTCCAAAGCACCAGAAAGGCAAAAGACGAGAAACAACAGATGGGAACTCATCAAGGAGAGGAGCAACCTGGAATTAAGGAGAAACTTCCTAATGGCGAGGACAAATTAACCAGTGGAACTCGCTGCAACGAAACAGGTTCTGTTTTTCCAATACAAATCAATCAGAATAGAGCTGGAAGGGACCTTGGAGGTCTTCTAGTCCCACCCCTGCTCAAGCAGGAGACCCTAGACCATTCCAGACAGGTGGCTGTCCAGTCTCTTCTTAAAAGCCTCCAGTGATGGAGTAGCCACAACTTCTGGTGGCAAGCTGTTCCACTGGTTAATTGTCCTCACTGTTAGGAAGTTTCTCCTAAATTCCAGATTGCTTCCCTCCTTGATGAGTTTCCATCCGTTGCTTCTTGTCTTTTGCCTTCTGGTGCTTTGGAGAATAGCTTGACGCCCCCTCTTCTTTGGGGCAGCCCCTGAAATACTGCTATCCTGTCCCCCCTAGTCCTTCTTTTCTCTAGACTGGCCAAACCCAAATCCTGCAGCCGTTCTTCGTATATTTTACAAAGAAAAATGTCTTAGTTGCTCTTCTCTGCACTTTTTCCAAAGTTTCAACATCCTTTTTTTGCAATGTGGGGGATCAAAACTGGATGCAAGTATTCCAGATGTGGCCTTACTAAGGCTTTATAAAGCGGTACTAAGACTTCACGTGATTTCGATTCTATGCCTCTGTTTATGCAACCAAGGATTGTGTTAGCTTTTTTGGCTGCCGCTGCACACACCTGGCTTGTGTTTACGTGTGATCGTCCACTAGGATGACCCAAATATTCTGAACATTTCTCTTTTCATTGCAGATCTTGGTCCCCCCCGTTTCAGTCCCAGGGAATCTATTGAAGAGGTAAGAACGGAGAGAAATTAGATCTGAAATGGTGTTTTTCTCATTTTGTGCCTCTGAAGGTTTCCATTTCTTAGTGAAAGGCCCAACTGACCATTTTTTTCCTTTGGAAAAAGACCTAGTCAAGAGAATTGAAGATAATTTGAATGGGGGAGAACCTTCCTGAATTAGCAAAGTGAGCTTCTCAACATCTGCTTATTTTCTTGGGAAAATTGCTCTTCTCCCATGGAGAAAAGTTCAAAATAGAATTTCCTTCCTGCTCTCGAGAAACGAACTCCTTCCATTATAGATTTTAGCTTTGTAAATTTCTCACATAGCAGCAGATATTCTGGGGTCCATTGTGGTGGTAACAGGACTATTTGTATTTTTTTTTTCACTTTTAGGCACCGGTTGGAAGTTTTTCCCGGAACATGCTGTTAAGACGCTTATGGGAATCTGCCAGGAAGCAGTACAAGGAACGCAGGAATCTCTCCCAATGCTTTTGGAAATATTGCGTGTGACCGGCTGGGATCCCTCTTGCTTCCAGGTGCCCTTATTCCCTCGCCCTATAATTTATGATGTGATCAAGCAATAGACTAGATTCCTGCATATCGTTTCTGGAAACGCACACGTCATGAAAATAAAGACATACTGAAGATGGCAAAAACTCCTATGTTGCTTGCATGGGATTTAATAAATCTGTTAGAAATTCTGTATGTAGCCCTATAGAACAGACAGTGCACAGTCCCCATGTGCTTTCCTGCTTATCTGCCATAAGGAAGCAGGAAGCTTTTGATTCAGAGAAAAAGACATAGAGTACGCTATAGATGCAACTGCAAACTTATAAACACTGCCATCTATTGAAAAATACATACCTCTACTGTATATATACAGCTGTAGTTGTTATACAAAATACATGAACAGTGTATTCCAACCAAATCTTCTCTAGATTTGTTCCTATTATTGGAAGCTGAGAATTATTTTCCTTCCCCCCCTCCCCGTGTGAATCCTGTTCAAGATTAGGAAACAAGAAAGGCATAACGGAAATATATTATTTAAATCAATGTATATGACTGCCCATCTCACAAACATTATTCTGGGTGGCTGATGAAGATTTAAAAAATGCAATGTATTTTTATTAAGTCTTATAAATAAGGCAGTGAACATCCAAATATTCCTCCCTCCTATTTTCCCACAAAAAAACAACCCTGTGAGATGGATTGGATTGAGAGTGATTGACCCAATGTCACCCAGCCGGCTTTTATGCCTAAAGTGGGACTAGAACTCCCAGTCTCCTAGTGATTGGCCCAATGTCACCTAGCTGGCTTTCATGCCTAAGGCGGGACTAGAACTCACCGTCTCTTGGCTATTGACCCAAAGTCAATCAGTCGATTTTCACGCCTAAAGCGGAGCTGGAACTTACCGTCTCCTGGCCGTTGGCTCAAAGCTACCTGGCAGGATTTCATGCTCAAGGTAGAACTAGAATTCACCTGTCTAGTCCAGTGTCTTAACTACCAGACCATACTTTTTTTCTTTGAGCTGAAATCCCTGTAATCAGCAGTGACAGACAGCAAATACGCGGTCACCAGCTGACCACTTTGGCCACCGGTTGGCCATATCCCTGCTGGTATCCCACGCAGAGACTCCCTATCCCATCTCGAGGGCTCCCACACAATTTGCCAACCTTCGCGACAATCAGTGCACGGGCACAGCCCTCCTACTTCGGACGGAGCAACAGAGCGAAGCAATACCATCTCAGCCCTCAGATTGAGTGAGTGAGTCACGGTTTGTACCGCATTAATGGCTTCATTTAATTTCATCAAGCGGCCCTTATTTTGACTCGCTTTTATATACAAGCTTTTATATAGGACTCCTGCAAAGACAACTGGACCACAAAAGCTGCAAAACGCCAACCAGATTGACAATCGCTCTTTTATTATATAGCTACAATAAAAGTTCAGCTGCTCGATCCGCCGGATGGTTGAAAACTTTTCTGCCTGGCAGATAACGAAGATTCCATGTTAGTAGTAGAAAAACACATTCATTCAAGTTTGGCTGAGTGAGGAATTGGTAAGAAGAATTACTACAATAATAAGTACATTTTCCTAGGCAGGAAAAGCTGGTTTTCAGTGTTTCAAAATCGCGGCTTTTTTTTTTTTAACCTATACAAAAGTATTCGAAAAATAAGAATAAATCAGGAATATAAGCAGGTTTTCCTAGGCAAGTCGAAAAATAATCCGATGAGACAGCTTGAATACTTCACGGGATTAAATGTTGGTGTTTGTGCCTATTTGGGGTGCTAAACGGAGACAAATATAAGAAGTGGAAGAGCCACAAAGAGACTTGATCAATAAAAGAAATAAGCCTCATTGGAAAGTGGGCGCCTAAAAAACAGAATTACTAGATTGCCGATGCAGAACAACTGTTGCAAAAAGTCAGAATTCTCCTGAAAAGCCCTTGTGCTTTTTATTTTTATTTTTTTGCTTGCAATTGTGCAACCACCATTCATTGCATCTGTGGAACAGGCAGTTTGATTCAGGTCCAAACAAGGCACTAAGTTGTAACAACCGACATTCAACTAGGTTTGCACCCAAAAGGCCTCCAGGTTTACGGTGTTTATTTTAACTCCACCAAGTGTGCAACTCTTTGCAAGAGACTTAAAAATCAGCTTAAAAAGACTATAGTGTTTGCTCGCTGTGGCCTGCCCCCCCTCAATTAATTGCTGTGATTTAATGAAGGCACCGTGGTTCTCTATGTCACAATTGTGGATAAAAATAATAATTATTAATTGTAGGAAAAGCAGAAACATAAACCAATCCCACTCCCCAACGGTCTAACCAGGAGAGGAATAATATCGATTTATCCGAGAAACGAGGCGTGAGGTTTTCTCCTGCAGCTTGCAGTCTTATCGCTCAAACTACATAAAGAGTTATACACACA